GCGTCCACCCACCTTGTGGGCACAGCAGTGAGCTGTGTGTCTTCTCCACGAGAACTCCCTCAGGCTGGCGTGAAGATAGACACGGAGGGGTAAAAACAATGAAGACGAATGTCAGGGTGGGGGGCACCGAAGGGCAGGAAAGGGGAGGGACACAAGGAGAAAGGGCCCCCCATGGGCCCCCAAGGCTTCCCTCAGGACTGGAGCAAAAGGAACTTCTCTTGGAAGCTCAGAAAAACTGCACTTAAACCCAGGGATGGGCTGCTTTTTAAAAATTCTTTCCGGGCAAGGGCTAGAGCTAAGGACAAGTTTAGGAAACGTAAGAGGTAAGATTGACAATGGAGTTCATGATGGGATTTTTTAAAAAGCAGCTAATGATGAAGGTAGAGATTTTAATAAGGGAAACTAACACTCACTGAGTGTCTACGATGTTCCGGGCACTGTGTTGGGCACTTCATAGGCCACAGGTGCCGGTTAGGCGATGGTTAGGGGCAGAAAGGGGAAGGAAGGGGAAAGTTGAAGTTTCCTGACTGGAGCTGCAGCAAGACTGCCTTGCAAGACTAACTGCAGTGGCGCACGCTGTGCTTGCCGGGGTTGGGTGCTGCCTCTACCTCTAGGCGAGGCCTGCAGAAAACTCACCTTGACAAGAACTGGTTTGATGAGCGTGTCACTCCGACCTTTTTTTGGAACAAACCCCTTATGGCCCCCACAGAGTTCACTGCTATCAAGAATCTGAGTACCAATAGTAAAATTAACAGGACCTGAGGAGAAAGAAGAATGAAAGGCATTAGCCCGATTGCCAGAGGTGCCAATGAGGTCTTTTCCCCTTTTGACCAGCATTTTAAAAACTTTAATGGCACACAAATCACCTGGGGATCTTATTACAATGCAAACTCTGATTCGGTAGACCTGGAGTGAGGCCTATATTCTGCATTTCTAACAAGCTCCCACGTGATGCTAACGATGCTGTTCCCATGTGGCAGGTGGCCTGTAAGGGCCCCCAATGATCCCTGCAACCTGATATTTACATCCTTGTGTAATCCCATCCCACCGAGTGTGGGCTGCACTGAGTGACTCGCTTCTAATGAAGAGGACAGGGCAGAAGTGATGAGATGTCTCTTCTGACATTAGGTTATAAAAAGTTCTGCAGCTTGTCTTGGGTGCGCTCTTTCTATCAAATCCCTGCTCTGGGGGAAGACAGCTGCCACGCGATGAGGCTGCCCAGTGGAGATGTTCACGTGATGAGATACTGAGTGAGGCCTCTAGCCGACAGCTGAGGCCAAGAACTGCGGCCTTCAGTCTCACAGCCTGTGAGGACCAGAGGCTTTGGAATGACCTTGAAAGTGAATCCTCTCCCAGTCAAGTCTTCAGATGATAGCACAGCCCCGGCTGATGGCTTGACAGCAACTTTGCAAGTGACCTTGAGTCAGAGGGACTCAGCTAGGGTCTAACCCCTAGCCCTGGCTGCACCCAGATTACTGACCCACAGAAACTATGTGATCACAAATGTTGATCCTTTTAAGCCACTAAGTTTTACAGTAATTTGTTCAGCAGCAGCAGATAACTAACACATCAAAGACTATACTTTGAGTTGCAGGGATTTGACCCATGAGCGACTGACATCTCATAGGATTAGTGTGAGAATGAAATAAGTTAATACCTGTAAAGCAGTTAGAATAGTGCTTGGCGCATGGTAAATACTTGACTAGCTACATGACCGTCTATTCTTTGTTCTGGTACAAATATTAAAAGCTCTCCCTTTGGGCCGGCCCGGTGGCACACTGGAGATTGCGCTGCTTGGGAGCGTGGCGGCGCTCCCGCCGAGGGTTC